ACACACACACACACACACACACACACACACACACACACACACACACAGACACACAGGCTTGTACTGTTGCACACACACTGTATACATTTTCTAATTGTCTGGATATTAAGTAGTGACAAATGTGGAAAGTTGCCGTATAGACTGGTTAAATTTAAAATGAACCCACTAGTAGTGTATTTAATAATACTGAGTCTATGTACCATTACCACAGGATTCCTATAAAGCCCTTGTCATTATAGCTGTGGTGTTTATTAATAGCATATTTTACAAATGTGGTTCTCCTTACTATAGTAAAAAAGCAGCAACATTGCCTTCGTCCCCTTCATATAATGAATGTAACATAACATTTTAATCACAATAGATCAATATTGTTTTAAATAAAAGCTAATAGCAACATTATCATACCAATAAATGTATTGCTGTAAGCCACAATACAGCTTAGCATTGAAGATATGAGTAGACCTAAGTAGGGCTTTTTTAATATTTGCAAAAACATTTCAGTATATATAAGATATTGTGTCTGTTATAAATCATGCGTGTGATCGCGTTGGCCGCCAAAATGTGGCTTTTCTTAATTCCTGAAAAGCTGGTTTCTTTTACATGAAAGCCTTTTGCGGACACAGAGATGTGCTCGATGTGGAGACTGACTCCTGCTTTTTATTCAGCTCGGTGTTTAATAAGAGGTTGAAAGAATGTGGTGCCAGGTCCTGGGATAGGTTTTGAAATACACATTTTTGAATTGGATGTGTTAAAGCCTTCTGCCTGCCCGCCCTTTTCCTTTTTTTCAGAATTGAATTATCACAATTTATTTTTCACATTTGTACACAACCAAAAAGGCTGCCACGCACTAATGAAATACTGGCATTTACCAAAACATCGTAAGATAATTTCCAACACTGACAATTTAAGCCAAAATGTATTACTAGAAATGATTTAGGAAAAGCAGTGAAACTAATTGTGTGAATTTTTACACACTTATCCGATTCCACACTAAGTTTGAAAAGTAGGGGAGCAGTAATTAAGGACAGACAATACACAAGTTCAGGAGAAAATATTGTTTAGTTCGCTATTTTTCATTCTTATTTGGACACTAGATCCATAGATTTTATTTAGCTGTTGCCGAATTTAACATATCTTTCAAAATGAATGCAAAATAGGTTTGTTTTAGTATATAATTACATTTCAGTCTTTCATGTCCCTCTCAGTGAACTTCCTCCCTTTATCCATAGGAATCCCCCCCCCCCCCCCCGCAGTATTCCATGTTCAAATTCCCCTGCATTAAATCTATTGACCGAATAACCACCAATACTTTGCTATTGAGAGAGAGATGACGGCGTAGCTAGCTCATTATCATCAAACCCTGAGCGCCATTTTGTGTTTGATAAGTGCCAGGGAAAGCAGAAGGCACAGCACACAGACAATAATGGTTGCCACTGGCACCGGGGTTGGCATCAGACCCTCTTTTGTGTCTTTTGTAGGATGCCACCGCTTCTCTAGTTTGCATCTGCTGCATTTTTAACTGTTCAGTACCAAGTTGAGAATGGCTCTTTAGTGCACTTTCTTCACAATAGACACCATTTAAATGATAAGTTGATGTCTGTATCGTAGGTTATGGACGGCATTTTTACCAGCTTTTATTTAAAAAATGTGTCCGCTATGGAGGAAGAGCAAATTATCATTTGATAAGTCAAGATAAGTCATTTTAGTGTTTGAAATAAATGGTGAGCACAATGTTCTCCTTTCGCCGGAGAATAAAGTCGCTGCGATTCAACGTTGCATTGCGGATCAGAGCGATTGTTTACCGTTTTCTGTGCGTTGAAACTTTGGCAAATACAGAATAGCATTCTTTTACCGGGATCACAGAGACGGCCGTGCTTTTTTTTTTTTTCCTTTTTGTTTTTTGCAAGCTAAAGCGTCTTTTCCTTTTCCCTCAAGTCACCGAGCGGTGCCCATCTCTAGACAATGCAGCCATATTGTGGTAGCGTGTGGTGCGGCGCCATTTTGTTTTGCAACCGTGCCAGGGAGGCAGGCAAATCACCAGTAATGGTTGTTAGAGGTTTGGAGGTTGGCATCAAACCCTCTTTGTCTGCTTTGCAGCATGCCTTTGATTCGTTGGTTGGCATCCGCAATGCAGTGGGCATGTTGGAAGTTTTTTGACAGTGGCAGAATGGAAGCCCGCTGCCTTTGTTCTGCTGCAACTGCGTGAAACAAACAAACATATACAACCAAACACAAAGAAAATGGCAAACGGCAAACAGAATCTGGTATTTGTGCGAACTGCTAAAAAAATACCCTGTGCTTTTATTATCGTTCTCTCCTTCCTGCAACCTGGCAGCGGCTCGCTTCCGTAGGGTCGTGTAATCGGATAACAAAAAAATATTTCACACAACGGAATTTTCTTCTTGTTATTTTTTTTTTTCCCTCCTGCTAAAAATCAATAAGTTCAGAGTGTATTTGCTTTTTATTCTGGTGGGTTGCTGCCTGAGAAAGGTCGGCGGGTTGGCAGCGAGTGTGCTGGGTGAATTTAGAGAGGGCACTCAGCCCCCTTGTTCTGGGGCACAGACGCGTTTAGCCAGGCAGGGCTGTAGCACCCATGTGCATGCCCAGATGAATGCCCGCTGGGAAGTGGGCAGGGGGCTGAGGGTGGGGGTTGTGGCATCCATTGTGCCAACTGGCAGGCCGTGTTCAATACAGGGCCCTGGCTTCTCTCTCACACACACACACACACACACACACACATACGGCCGTTGTACTCCAATGCACTGCTTTATTGTTATCTTATAAAATCAAGAAGTGATTTTTTTTATTTGAATCATCGCCTCATCTCACCTGGATTCATATTTGGCATATCCAGTTTGACAGCTTGATGGAATAGCTGTAAGAAGACATGGAGGCCATGGTCGTGTTAGGACTTGTCAGGATACTGTAGGACTTGTTTGTATTTGGCTTTGTTAATAAGCTGCACATCAATATTCCCTCAACAAATATAGAAATGTCTCGGCCCTACATATTTAAATGTCTTGTTCTTAATACATGCCTGCAATTAATAGAATATAAAAATATTCTTGGAAAATGTGATGTGTACATTTTCTACCTCAATTATTAATTTGTCAGTGGAATATAGTAGAAATTGTTGTAGAAATTTGAAATAACTGCAAAGAATTCTGAGCATTGTTGAAAGTTGCCGGTGGCTTCTAACCAGTGACAGAAGAGGAGGTAGTCCAACAAGGTCAAGCAGCATTCCCATTGCTCCGGTGCTGAAAGTTAACAGCCATAAAACATCATTACCTTGACACCCCCCCTGCCCCCCCCCCCCCCCCCCCAGTCACGTAACTGTTTTTTCACACTGTCATGACAGTTTGTGGAAATGGATGGATTACCTCTGAATACACGCTGCCATGTTAATGGAGACCTTGTTTTATGAGTGGCCGACTTAACCTTTGCCCCCGGGGTCGGGACCTTTTTCAAAGAGATGTGACGGGGTGTCCTGTGAAGTTTAATTGAGCAAAACAGAACAGTGAAAACACGCCGTTTGCGGGCCCAGGGCACGTGGAGGGGGAAGGCTTTTTTGCCTGGGGGGGGGGGGGGGGGGGGGGGGTGGTGGTGGTGGTGGTCAGGGGAGGAGGCGGGGGAGCTTTGCATAAGCCCCCCTTGTTGACCTCCTCTATCGGGGTCAGACCGCGGCGGTCGCGAGATCACCGGTGGTCTCTTGGCAACTGTTTGTCTCCACTCCCCCGCCACTACTTCTGGTCTGGCTGGTGGTCCCTTGGTTGACTGGCCTAAGTGAGGGGGAGTAGGTACCACTGACTCCCCACATCTCGTCACACTCCCCCTCCAGACTGGGTCGTCTGGCCGGTCCCTATCTCCAAGATTGGCCGTTGCCTGCTCGCCACACTGCGCGGGGTGGCTGCTTGCATCTTGTTTTCCGCTCGGCTGCCTCAGAGGCTTTGGTCAGGCGGCCAGTGCGGAAGCCTGACCTTCTGGGTCACAGTGGAGGCCTGTGACTAAGCACAACATCTATCCCTCCCTCCCCCTCGTCACCTTATCCTCCTCTGCCATCAGGAATCACCCCTGCGGCACAATGCCCGGCCAAATGACTCTCACACTCCTTCTCTCCCCCAGTCGCTTTTCTTTTCACACTCTCTGGCTTTCCCTCAAGCCAGAAACTCTGACCATGACAGCTGTCCCAGGCCCAGGCGCTCAGCCAGAGAGAGGGTGGCTGGGTTTCTGCCAGAAGTGTGAAACAAAAGTTGTTGTAAGCAGACAGGGTTTAGGATACTACTGTTGGTCTTCCTATTTTGGGCTTAGTCAAGTTATTAAGCGGCCTTTAATCTGAAATCTTTCCTGGCGAGGTAATACTCCGCATGGTTCTTTTGGAAGTTGAGTAGAATTTTATTCTTGGACGTGAATTTTAACAGTGAACGTTCAGAACAAAATCAGCAGGGCGGTAAAATACAACTCCTGGGGAAAACCTTAACCGATGACTCCGGAGCCATATAGAAAAACTCTTCAGACTGAAATGCACAACCCTGTGCTCAGCTTCCATTCTGGCTTCCTTATTAGTATGCAATAGAGCCTGC